ACATTTTGTTGTTGATTATTTCACAATTGTACCTCATTTTCTGAAGCCTTAAATGACTTTTACAAAATGAAATAAAAGTAAATAAATAAATAAATAGAACTAGCGTTTGCAGCATCCACTCCTCAGTTATTCCTCACTCTGTAAACCCACTCCTGACAATAACTAGTATTAGGGATGTAACAATAACTGAAATATCGTGATATCGTATCGTCAAAAGTCTCACAATAACCTCGCGGGCCGGTGTGAGATAGTATTTTGACCCCCATAGTGTACTGACCCCGGGGTGAACATACCGCTACAGTAAAGTATAGTATAGTACTTTTTTCTTTAGTAGTTACTTCTATGATCATTATTTCTCATGTAATTTACTTTTATTATATACTGCTACATATTCACTTTCTTTTAAGGTATTTTAAGGAATATTTTGATGGAGAACAACTTGGTATTTTGTGTAAATGTAATGTATTGTTAAAATTGCATATACCCAGCAATCTTTTATATTGTATTTCACATTGTTAGGGTTTTTAGTTTGCCATGTTCAGATAATCCACATGTAATTTCAAGCGAAGTTATTGTTTACAGAAACCATTTAACAAATCTTCTCCTATCATCTATTTAACTAGTCAATCGATCAGCCCTGTTTATTTTAACAAGATTCCAAATCATTATACATCACTTTGATTACCGAACTAATTAATAACTACTTATCTCATTGTTAGTAAAATATGTGTTTAAACAACTAAGTCATTTTTAACATTCAAAAGTTATAATCGACATAAAAAAAAATGCATCTGAGTTCTTCAAAAAACACTTTTAAATGTGCCGATATGTTTTAATTTGCAGATATAGTATTAATATTCAGAGTTTTTCTATAGAATTCAAGTTATTTATTAATAAAATATAGATTTTCATAGGGGGGTCAACATACTATATGGTATGTTGACCCCGGGCTCAAAATCCTATACCACAGCGGCCCTTTTCCACTTTCCCAGCTCGGCACAGTCTGGCCTCTGTGGGGTTCTGGCGCTGTCTCACTACAGGTAAGATGGTCGGGGGATATTGTGTTTGCATAGAAGGTTTAGGCTCTGCTGCAATGCAAATTCTGTCGCACTACGCAGCAGTGACGAGCCGAGGAAAGACAAGGAAATAAAAGAAGATAGGAGAAATGTGCGGTCGCTAATGTAGACCAAGGATATCAACTAAAATATCCAAGAAAAACAAAAACAAAAAATAGCGTACAAGACTCACCAGGCTGCACGTTTGTCAAATACTACACTATGTAACCTGGGACGTTTTGATTGGCGTTACTGAAAGGTGGATTAACCAATTAGAGAAAATTTCGCGCATATCAAAGCAAACACGACGAGTTAGGACAACAAAAGAAAGTAAAAAAAATCGCTGAGAAGCTGAGAGCATTTCTGCAGAATAAGCAATTACGAATTATCATGAAATTGGGATGCAACAATAACTCAAATATCGTGAAATCGTATCGTCAAAAGTCTCAAAATAATACCGTGGGCCGTCACAATATATCGAATTCCAAGTGTCTTTGCTTAAATTCATTGTTTCGGTGCAGCAATAGTTAAAAAATACTGCATGAACTACACAGACCATGATCCTTTGCTCCATTACAGTGCAGACTACAGGAAAATTAATACAAATAATAAGAAGAATCATGATTTTTAAGCACGTTTAAATCTTAATTCTGTGGTTTATGACAGAACGAAAGTCTTATCATGGCATTTTAAAAAGAAAACATTGCATTTACACAATTTTGTTAGTATCTACAAAATATCGTGCCGTGGGATGTATATCGTGAGAATACCATATCGAGAAATCTGAATATCGTTACATCCCTATCGTGAAACTTTTAATGTGTCTCCTACGCAAATGGGTCCCGTCTTAAAAGATAACTGGAATGAGAATCAAGCTTTGTTTTTCCTTTTTGGATATTGTTACCGTGGCAATTTTGGCAGACATTTTGTGACTGTTAGACGTAGAGAAACTTACATTAGTAGGAGCGTGCAAAAATATTGAAATACCGCTGTATTGTATGGTTTAATGTGATGATACAGTATCGATATCGTGGGCTGCTATATCGATATATTGTAATTTATAGTATTTTTTGCTATATTTTACTGAATTATTTTGTAGGTATTTGAGTCTACGTTTATATGATGTCGGTCTGAACAGAAGAAGCAAAAGTGGCGTCACGTCTCCACTTTTTATTCCGCGTTTAGACGAGCGTTTTCGGGACCAAAAGTGTGTGGAATTTGATTGGGTATGTTTGTACTTAAAGAAACAAGGGCGTCTTTGGACATACGGAAGTTTTCACGCCACGCGTTTTCATCAGCTACTCCTTCCACAAAGTTGTCCCACCATCGACTGGTTCTCCAGGTCTCGTCCATATCCGTCTGACTCGACTGCGATGACCTGGTGCATCCAGAATTTGACAGAGGTGATTGCAGATCCTTCTCTGTTCACTAATACCATCTCTGCAGATTCTAGGGCTGGGTATCATTAAGAAGTTGCCGATACGATACATATCTCGATACACAGGCCACGATACGATGCATATCTCAATACAGTGAGCTTTCGATTCAATAAATTTCAAATCGATTCAATAAGGTTCAATAAAAAATAAAGGCTGAATCATGGCCGTGATACTAAAAGTCCTTGTTAAACCACTTCTTGTGCAAAGTTCATATGAAACACAAACATTTTAATCATTAAAAACAGTGAAAATGTCAAATATGTCGCATAAACGAGTTTTCTTCCTCTAAACAACCAACAAACTGTAGCTCTGTAACAAAATAATTTAACAAAATAAACCAAAAAATACTCTTGGTGATATATCGATACAGCAGCCCATGATATCGATACAGTATCATCACATTTAATGATATGATATATTGATATTTCGATATTTTTGCACACCCCTAGCAGATTCTGTACATTTGTTGGGATGCCAGAGCAGCTTGAAGGTCCGACCTGAGCAGATCTGACCAGAGTTTTGCGTCATGGGCAGTGTAAACGGAAACGCTACGGCGGAGTGTATTCAACTTTTCCACTCTGGAGGGTGGTTTCAGGTTTTTGCATTTTTAAGCCCCAAAAACACCGTCACCGTCTAAACGAAAGGCACTTCTGATAAGAAATTTGTCCTTTTTACCCGCAAGCGTTCTCGTGTAAACAGACTCTGAATCACCAAAAAACATCCTTCTGACCAGGCCATCGTCATTACTCAGTACTAGAACCCAGTCTCACAGAACAAAGTTGATCTTCATGTACACTACAAGTAGCAGTAGTAGTAGTAGTAGTAGCAGTAGTAGCAGTAGTAGTAGTAGTAGTAGTAGCAGTAGTAGTAGTAGTAGTAGTAGTAGTAGTAAAGGAAGTGGTGATAGACACTTACCCGTCGCGACCCTTGCTGATGATCTTGACCTCGAAGTAGTAAACCCCACAGGCGGCGGGGATGGGGTGAGTGGCCCTCACCGACGCAGCGTCTTTAGGTGTTTTGCCATGACCTGAAAAACACCAACACGTTACTCGGTACGTATCGGGTCAAGATCACGGTCTGTATAAAATTTAAAAAAAGTGGACTAAGCGAGCGTGACGTCACCTCAAGCGTTCAGCGACGCTCAAATGAAGCTCGAGATGTGAACGGTTACAGGAACGAATATGGAGCCAGACTCTAAATTATGAATAGGATTTTTTTTTTTTTTTTTTAAACAGACAAAATAGCAGATATAAAAGAATGAAAACTTCGGATATCAATTAATTGAGACTGGCATGTTGGAGGAGCCCAAGAACATAGAGAAAAATCCCGTTCACCATCTTACTTGCAAATTTTGACATTTATTAGAAGGACAAACCGTGCAACGTTTCGGCACTCGGCCTTTATCCTCCAAGTGGCAAAACACGGTTACACGGTTTGTCCTAATAAATCTCACAATTTGCAAGTAACAGAGAAAGAAAAACACACCACGATCATGTAGAGCAGGTCAACACAAACATTTTAAGACCAAAATGACGAGGACTCACAGTTGAAGTTACACAGAGAGGAGCCAAAATATTCCGATATTCTAATTCAGAACGAGCCGGAAGAGCCGCTGGTGCATTTATACAGTCAAACCCCTGACAAATTTTGACTTAAAGTGACTTTTATTCAACCAGCAAGTTTTTTCTTGATTGGAAATGACACAGGCATCTCCCAGAAGATAATAAGACGACGTACAAGAGGCATCGTTGTGGAAAAAAAAAAAAATTCTCAGCTTTTATTTACATTTGAACGAAAAGTGGCATGTCCAGAATTATTCATACCCTTTGTTTTTGTTTTTTGGGCTCGATTGTATATACAGTCTACGGTTGAAACAAGCTGTACCCGAATCTAGACTAGTAAATGCCACTTCTGACAGTTTCTACTTTTAGTAAAATGCTCAAGTAAAAATGAACTTTTTACCCAGGAAAGGAGGAAGTGGGTATTTGAGTGAGGCAAAGTCATTCCTATCTTTCACAAACCCTTTGGCAACTCACCAGTCATTACATTAAAGCTGCAACTAATAATTACTGTGCTCATCGATTAATCCTGTCTAACAATTATTCTTTTGATTAAATAGATGAGTTGTTAAACGCACACAGCTGAATTTGACCCGCACGAAGCTTGAGGCCTTCGTCACGGAGTTTATTTACACACTCAAGTTTTTTTTTTCCGTTAAAAATGTTCCATTAAAATCACTGGATGTACAGATTTCATGTGTCATTTTGAGGTAACTGTCATTTGTCTGAGTCATAGAAACTCTCCTCTCAGCTCACGACACATTTTGGAGTCTGTGTACAGAAATGCCGATTATTAAAATAGTCACCAATTAATCACTTCACTTATTTACACTTTTTATGCACCTAAACAGCTTTAGAACAGCAGAAGCGGCGGGGACCTGGACGCCAACGCACAGACCGACCGGCTCTTGTTTTCTGCTTTTTCTTCCAGGTTTGTGAAATATCTAATCGGACACAAACACCCTGCAGCGGTCTGGTTTTCTCAAAGTGCTGATTCTACAAAAAAAAAAAATTTACTCATCAATAAGAAGAAAAAGTTGGGTAATGCCGCTTTGAAGTGCCCAAGACAAGTTTTGACTATCCATTTTTACTAAAAACAAAGTCAAGATCATTTTCCCAGTTTGGCCATTTTTTAGGTTGAAAATTTTACTTCCTGTTTGGAAATCATGACATCACACTAGGAAATCCCTTAACTCTTATCTAGCAACCACGTACTGCATGGGCTAAAACTCCTCTAACATACACAAAAATTATGATTTGACAAATAAAATGATAAGAAACACCTTTAGTATTTTGTGGAACAATGATTAAAATATTGGAAAAAGTGTTTATTGTGCGTTTTGGACAGAATTCCCTCCAGTGTGACGACCTCAATGAGGAAATCTCTACTTCCTGTCATTTTCTAGTCTTTTCTCGATTGGTGTAAAACTATAAATGATCTTGAAACAGATATTACCCCACCAGATCAAGTCAAAATTTGAGACTCTTCAGAACCTGTCATACGCGTTTTAGGATCTAAAATGGCTGACTCAACCATTTGATAAAATGTCATAGCAGCAGATGCAGGTACAGTAACAATAAGAGCAGCAGAGGCACAGGAGGTTAAGCGCTTGCCTCATAACCAGGGGGTTGTGTGCCAACATTGTGTTGTCGGACACTACGACACTACACCAGCCTGTGCTGTTGTTTGTGAGTGACTGGCATGGTGGGGGTGGACTAGATTAGGGGAGGAGCGTCCCAAGTTTTCTGTGGGTTTGGGCTCGCTCACACTGGTCATCTGGAGGTCACTCTGTGTGGGTCCTACAGCTGCTCGCCCTGCTCCTCCTGCACACAGGAGCAGACTGCAGTCCTGCTACAAAACCTACGGGGGCCGTCATAGTCTGCTGTAATAAAAGAAAACACTGGTTCTGTTGTTGATTGCCTGCACTGGACTTCTGCTGCAGCCTTCTCTCTCTGCAGGGCATCTGGCCTAAAAACTGCACTCAGTGCAGAAGTGCTTGATGACACTGACATATTTAGTACTTTTCAGAATCCTGATGTCACATACGTAGTGTAAAGTACTGATCAATGAGGATGACGGAGCAGCACAAGTTCTAGACACTGTAGGCTCCATGGTCTGCTGTCAAGTATGAGGGCCTGGTCCACATCCTCCTGCTCTTACGAAACACAAGTCCAAACATGCACATGACAGCTCCGTCACCTCACACTGCGGCTCGGGACGAAGCGGAGGACATGGGTTTGTTTGGGCCATTATTTCACCAACGGTGTGGACAGAGATTTAGATGAAGAGAATCTGTCTGGAGACAGTGCGCTTCAGCTGATAGGTGCTAACCCAAATTAATCAAATTGTTTAAAGCCCCGTGAAAAACAACTGGATGTTTGTGTGTTAAAGAGCCCGGGTCCCGGACAGCCGAGGCCGGGCGTCCTGTGGCCCCCGGGCCGCGGTGCTCGCCCCGCTGCGGGGCCACGGCTCATGTTGTTTATCCAGAGAACAGAGGCCTGACGCAATCCCGACAGCAGCAGCCTGACTCTGACACTGCTAACTGTGCTAAAGCTTTAGCCACAACAGCCCCACACTGTCGCTAAGAGCCCGTCTGGGGCACTTCTCCGGGCCGTACCTTTATAATGAACCCGGAGGTTGTTCTGGGACAGGCCGATGTAGCTGAACTTGTCTTTGGGGCTCCAGGAGCGAGGCAGCGGGGTCTCGTTTTCATTCACGGCGGGGTACAGACGCCGTAGCCGTTGGTTCAGCTCCTTTTCCTGCTCGTTCAGAGTTGAGTCTCCGTGAACCACCACCGACATGAGGAACCCACAGCCCGATGTCTGCCCCGACATCTTCACCTCAGCGCTCGGATCGGCTTGTCAGCAACAAGCCCGAGTCCAGTGGCCCAGTCAGTGTCAGCTTTTCTCTGAGCGCGCAGACAGAGCAGTGCCTCCGTGAGCCACCGTTAGCACGGAGCTAACCTGGCTAATGGTTAAAGGTGCAGAGATCCTCAGATGTCTGGGCTTGACATGAGCCAGAGCAGAGACGGTCCGGAGGCTGGACTCGGCGTGGATCGGTGCGGGTGAAGTGTTGGCGGCGGAGGGGCTGGAGAGTCCACGGAGCGGGCTGGGACGGGCTCCGCGGGGACTAAACCTGGTCCGTAATGAGCTCACTTTAGCCTGGCTCTTTTGTTTGTTGTCGGAGCGCGGAGCTTAACGCGGATTGGTCCAGAGCGGCTCAGTCACTCCAGCGGTCAAGTAAACAGGCTCCGCTCACTCAAGGAAGATCCGTGACCCGTCCACAGGGTTACAACACTATTATTATTATTATTACTAGTATTATCATTATTATCATCAACACACACACTTTATAATGATAACTCCAGTTAAAATTACTCAAAGTGTCACAACTATTTCTTTCCAAATAAAAAACAACGAAACACTGCGGGACAATGACTCGTTATT